GCTGGCGCCCCCCCCCCCCCCCCCCACCAACTGGTTACGATGCTCACCTTGGTTTCCTCGATTCTGCCCGTCCATGGCTCGCCTCACCTGCCGATCTGTCCGACATCGTGGCTGGAATTTTCAGAGACTTTCGCGATCGATCTCAACGCCTATCTCCGCAATCCTCCCCCAGGTTCGAATTCCTTGAATTTCGTCGGCTTTCTACAAGGACGACACGAGCGGCCACGACGTTTGCTGTCGCTCGAGGTTCTTCACCTTGAATGCTCCTCGCGAGTCGGCACTATATTTTTGCCCCATGTCAACCGAGTCCTCGTAGACGCGTGCGCAAAGACGGAGGGTTAGGAAGCCAGTGGCTAATTAATCCATTAATTAATCCTCCGTTCGCATTTCGTCGCTAATGTTCATTGCAAAACAGAATCCCGAGTTATTGTGTGGATTTACTACGTAATTATCAGCATTTGCGTAAGGACGTGGCCTCGAGTGTTCCTACGATCTATCGTGCTTCGATACACCACGTTAATTTGGATTTTGTCACTATGTTTTTTATACTCTCGATTATTCGTTGCAAAGCCAGTGGCGAATTATCGGGACGCGAATATATCGCGGTGATGTAAATTGATTCTCTAAGTACTAATTGAGTGTTTAAAAAGACAAACAAAGAACATTGAGAAATAAAAAAGAAGAAGAATAAGAAGAAGAAGAAGAAGAAGAAGAAGAAGAAGAAGAAGAAGAAGAAGAAGAAGAAGAAAAACAATAACGTAGTAGGAATAATTGGGCTCCGTAATTATTTCGGTTAAGTCGACGATTGCTCGTTAGCATATTGATGGTGCTCCTTTAAAGTTTGCCAAGATGTCCGTTAAGCAACTTGAAACGACCGTTACGATACATGTAACGTTAAGATAGCACGACTGGATGTACGATATTACAAAAAGCCTTGTATGAGGTGTGAAATTTTTTAAATCTTCCGACACCGTCAACTTACAAATTGTTTCATTAAAAATTGCTTCACTTTCGCTTTCAATTGTTTAACTCGTCAATAAACCAATCGGACAATGCTCAAACGACGTTGGCCAAATGAAAGAATCCAGAAGAGAAATAAGGAGAAGGAGGAAAAAGAAGAAGAAGAAGAAGAAGAAGAAGAAGAAGAAGAAGAAGAAGAAGAAGAAGAAGAAGAAGAAGAAGAAGAAGAAGAAGAAGAAGAAGAAGAAGAAGAAGAAGAAGAAGAAGATGATGATGATGATGATGATGATGATGATGATGATGATGATGATGATGATGATGATGATGACGAAGGAAAGAGACAACGACAAGTACTGAAATTAATAACAGAAGATTAATAATGCTTAATTCCAAGATAATATTTAATGAATAATTTGACGCGCGTATTTGCGCTTACTTAATTTCCTAAGTATTCTTTAAATAAAATTTTGATAAAGTGTCGCTCTAAGCCACTTAATTTATTATCAAAATATTTAAACGTACCAAAAGAATAGAATTTTTTCCCCTATCGATCGCTCGAACGTAATGTGCCTTTTATTAAACTGCGGATTGGAATGGAATGAAAACTTGCCAATTGCTAATATACCGATAAAAAGGTGAAAGGATTCAACGGCAAAATTTGACATATAAATAATAAAAGATATTGGACCACTAATAGCTTCGTCATAAAGAAAGATAACGTAAATTGATCAATTATTCTCTGCCTGTTCTCCCATCTCCATCACC